AAATCTAACCCAGTAACCCACTTACCCAATACCCACCCTCATTCAGTCATTCACTCATTCTCAAAACAAAAACCCTAGCCTCACTCTCTCCTCTCACTGCCTCACTGTCTCAAACCCCTCTCTTCGATCCTTCTTCTTCAACCTCGTGGTCCTCGTCTGCAATCAAATATCTTCGATCCTTCTTCTTCAACCTCGATCTTGCAAGGCTGCAACTCATTCAATTTAGGTAAACGTTTTCGCATTATTATATAAGAATTTTCTTAATTCAATATGTTCAATTAAGAATTTCTTAATTGGGTTTTCAATTGAAAGTATGTGATTCGTCTTTTATTTATGATTTGTTCGATTGCGGTTTTCAATATTTCATTTGATTGAGCTAGGGTTTCGTGTTATATTTGTATGATACTTTCAATCTAATGCAATTATTGAACTTTTTTTTTTTCAATTACCATTCTAACAATTTTACATTAGTACTTTGCTATAAATTAGAACATTTGTCGCCGTTGATTTCTGTTCGGTGTGACTTTAATTTGTAATTTGGTTTGGTTCATTCTTGAAACACTCCTAATTGTTGCATTTGTGTGGTGTTGTTGTGATTGTAAGCTGAGTTTCTTGTTTCAATTCGTATGTGCTGGTCAAATTTTGATCAGAAAAAGTATTCAGAATGAGTACTTTTCATTAGTTTTCAATTTAGCTAAAAGAGTCATTAATTGGTCCTGGAAAATATGATTTTGACTGAATAATGTACAAAGATAAGAATGATTAATGGTTTAATGCTGTTTAAAGACTGCATGAATTAGGATTTGTAGCCCTTTTTGGGTTTTAATTAGTGGTTTGCTTTGATCTATATGGAGGTGATTAATTTGCTAGAACACTGATTGTTGGTGGTGAATTATTCGTTTAAGAGACGGTGAGTGAGTGGTTACCCTTTGCCCCGTTTCCCAGAAATTGTTCTAGTGAAACTATTAGGAAAGAAAAAATCAAATTTTTTCGTGTTGATTACTGTTATTTTTTGTATGATAATGTATGAATATGATGACCTCCAAATTTTTTAGTTTATTAGGGTTTTAATCTAGAATTTTCATTACTTGTTTTTTTATATTTAATTTCACAAAATAGATATAATAAAGTCGAAATATGTATAGATTGTAATTAGTTTTTCTCATTAATTTCAGACTTATAAGTTTATGTTTATTATTTTAGCTTATGTGTGATAACTAAATTCGGATTATGTCATTTGACCACTTATTCGATCATTATAGATTTAGTTACTTTTTTTTTTATTTAATTCATTTACTAAGATCAATCTCTGTAGTACACACTAACTTAACACACTTTGTATATAATTAAGTGGGGATGAATTTTGATTGTATTGTAGTTCAAAATATATATACTGATTTTTTACTAAATTTGAATTGAAAATGACTGGCTATTAGCCTATGAATGATGCATGGTGTGTGTGAGCGTTTGTGTTTGTATCTATGTGGCTCAGTGGCTATAAATTTGTGTTGTAGCCTGTATGTAGTGGTTAGTGACTTAGTGTGATAGGTGGTTAACTGGTTATGCAGCAGCAACAATATATTAACATAGCAGTTACAGTATGACATTATGCATTGATAGGCCTTTCAACATGATATCTTCCGATAGCTGTGCTAGAAGCATGATCTGCCTTTGCTGCTGTGCATTGCTAATTTGCTATTATTAATTTATTATTGCTGTTTCTGAGATGTCAAATGTGTTCAATACTGTAGTCAATATGTCTAGTGCATTAATTGTCTTTATTTAATTTTTACAGGGGAGAATGACATCTAAAAATGAGAATAACGCTAGTGTTCCCACTTCCGCTAGTAATACTCCAATTGCAATAGATGATGATGAAAGTCCTCTAGAGACTAATTCCGATCCTTCTCTCCTACCAATTACTAGTAGGCATACTTCGGCAGTGTGGTCTGATTTTAAGAGAAAGAGAGTTGGGGATGTGATAAAAGCTGAGTGCAACCATTGCTCCAAGCTACTTGCTGGTGGGTCAAAAGCAGGAACTACTCATTTGAAAGATCATATAAAAATATGTCCAAAGAGAGTATGTCAAGATCTTCGACAAACAAGAATGTTTGGTACAAAAAAAAACTTGAATGATAAGAATGACACGATGACATTGGCTCCTTACGAATTCCACCAAGAAGATGGAAGAAGAGACTTGGCAGAGATGATTATTTTGCATGAGTATCCAATTAGCATGGTTGAGCATATTGGTTTTAGAAAATATAGCAAGACACTCCAACCTGGATTTAAAGTGCCGTCTCGCAACACAACTAGAAAAGATATTATGAAAAGATATGAGCTTGAGAAGGAGAATGTTGCAACCTTGTTGAGGAAAGCAAAGGGTAAGATTGCCTTAACTACTGACATGTGGACAGCTGACAACCAGAGAAAAGGTTATATGGCGGTCACCTCACATTTTATTGATAATACATGGAAGTTGCAAAGTCGGATCATAAGGTATTGTTTTCTGGTTACTTATAACTTGTTTATTTTTTTTGGTTGTCTTTGTATTGCTATAGTTTTTTGTGTGAATTTTAAAATCATAAGAATTATAAGTTGTGATGATGGATGATAATAATGAGCCCATATATCCACAATAGTATTGAATAGACAAATAATATATGTTATTTTCATTGGTTTTGGTAGGTTTTTATATGTCCCCGCCCCTCATACTGCTGAGGTTCTTGCTGATGCTTTGAAAGAAAGCATTCAATCATGGAATCTTGATCTTAGGTTGTCTTCTATAACCGTGGATAATTGTTCAACTAATGATGCAATGATGGAAATTTTGAAAGGAGTGTTTCCATATGGCTCACTTTTATTGCGAGGTGATTTTTTTCATATGCGTTGTTGTGCTCACATATTAAATTTGATTGTTCAAGATGGTTTAAGTGCTGTGGTATCAAATGGTGTTCAAAGAATTAGGGATAGTGTTGTGTTTTGGACTGCTTCTGATAAGAGAGTACAAAGGTTTGAACAAGTGGCTAAGCAAATAACTCCTGAGTGTAGTAGAAAGTTAGCACTTGATTGCAAAACCCGGTGGAATTCTACTTATGAAATGCTTTCTATTGCTACTAGTTATAAAGAAGTGTTTGTTGTTTTAAGTGCTCGTAATAATTTATATAAGAATCCACCGACCCCTGAAGATTGGGAAAAAGTTGAGAAAATATGTGAACATTTGGAAGTGTTTAGTAAAACTACCCTTAGTTTTTCAGGAACAAATTACCCTACGGCCAATCTTTATTTTCCTAAAATTTGTGCTTTGAGAATTGCTATTTCTGGTTGGCTTTTATCTCCTCATGATTATGTAAGGAAAATGGCCGACATTATGTTACAAAAATATAACAAGTATTGGGCTAGTGTGAATGGCTTAATGGGAGTGGCAACAATACTAGATCCTAGATACAAAATGGCTCTTATTCGCTTTTATTTTGCAAAATTTTTTGATGAGCATGACTTTGAAATTGAGGTTAGTAGAATTAGTGATCTTCTACGAAGATTGGTTGATGAATATGGGTCTAAGATGGGTAAAACTCAAGGTAGTAGCAACCAACAAGATTTTGATTTGGGTAGTAGTAGCAAATCCAATGAAGAGACCTTTATGCAAGAATTTGCTGAATTTTTACAACAAGATAAGGACTCAAGTCATGATATATCAGATTTGGATAAGTATTTAGATGCTGCTAATGTGCCTCTAGTCCAAGATTTTGATATTCTTAACTGGTGGAAGACAAATGGAGGCACATATCCCATTCTTCAGCAAATAGCACGAGATATATTGAGCATTCCTGTTTCTACTGTTGCATCAGAGTCCGCATTTAGCACAAGTGGTCGGGTTCTTAATCCTTATCGTAGTCGGCTTTTACCGGAAGCTGTAGAAGCTTTGATGTGTACTCAAAATTGGATATGGGCTGCTTCTAAAAGTAAATAGCTAACATAAAATTTTATTTAATTAATAATATTATTTATTTATTTTAATTAATTCACATTGTATTTGCAGATTGTGGAGAATTTAAGGATGATGAATATGCTAAATTAGTGGGAGAATTAGAGGAAGGATTTGAAACATGTGATATCGATTCTGGAACAAGTGGACTTTGCACCGAATAATTCAAGGCCTAATGAATTTCTTGTTATGTATTTGAATATTTGTAGACTTGTAGTTATTTTTAATATTTGGACTTTGGACAATTTGGAGTTAGTGTTTTTTTTTTTTTTTTTCTCTTATGTACTACTAATTTTAAGTTTTTTAATATGTAGTAATGTAGTATGTATGCCTAAGGTGTTGCACTTTATGAAAATGGTTGATCTTGCAGTGGTTTTTGTTGGATTTGAGTTAATGGGATTTGTATGCACTGCTACTTTTTCATTAGTCTACTATGAAGTCTGCAGGGTTTCAGTTGACACTTGAAACTTGAAAGACAGTTGCTTTTCTCAATACTAAGTTGGCGGGTATGGGGCGGGGAATTGGCGGGGATGAGGCGGGGGTTTGGCGGGTATGGGGTGGGGGTTTGGCGGGTATGGGGCGGGGACGGGGATGGGGCGGGGGTGGTTTTAGAGTTGGACCCGCCGGGGCGGGGACGGGGATTATTTTCAGACCCGACATGGGGATGGGGATGGGGATGGGGATGAAAATGTGAGGCGGGGATGGGGATGGGAATGCCAAAATCCGCCCCGCCCCGCCCCGTTGACACCCCTAATTGTAGTAGAAGCTCCTAAAAGTAACGCCTATTATTTTATCACTTTCGCAATTTAAACGAGCATGCATCCCGCACAGAATCTTACGTCCTCATTCAATAATTTTTAAATTATTATAATAATAATTTTTAATTATTTCTATTTTAATTAATTTTTCCAAAACAATAATTAAATTTTTTTGTTAAAAAAAAAATTGAAAAAATCAATTGCAATCAGATCCAGCGGTGCAACTACTTTACACACTCAGAATATAAAAAGGGTAGCTGGGCAAATCAGTTCAGGATTTCTGAAAGCTACATTTTCTCTCTCTAAAACCTTCATTTTTATTTTTTTCCTTCATATTTTTCATTTATAATAAGCTCATAAAAATAAATAATTACAAGAAGAAGAAAGTAAAGATCGATATCAGATCATTTGAAGATATGGGTAGTGGCTATTTTGGGATTCCTAAAATGGGAAACTCGAATGATAAATCGTCGTCATCGTCTTCGTCGTCTAGGAAGAGTAAAAAGAATGGCTCTGAGAAGCCTAAACAACCTCAAAGAGGTCTCGGGGTTGCGCAGTTGGAACAAATCCGACTGCGCAGCCAGATGGGTTGTAGCGGGTTTAACTCTTCCCCTACCCCGCCCACCTTTCATCAGGTAACTGGTTTTTTTTTTTTTTTTTTTTTTTTTTTTTTTTTTTTTTTTTTATATTCTAAATACTCGTAACATTTTTTTTAACTCTCATGTACATAATAGAAAATACTCAAATTAGGTTTTCTTCGCTACAAAGCAAAGAGTTACCTAATTATGTATTTTTTTTTTTTGTTATGGTGATAATGAAATTATCGCGTTTTTAACTTTAAAGGTTATTTTGTGTGATTTTAAATTACAGGACGATGTGAGATTGCAAGGACTACAAAGTTATGGAGTACAACAATCTTCGACATCATATAATAATCCATATTATTCACAATCTTCTTCACCTTCAACTTCATCAACTTCTTATGCTCATCATCCTAACTTCATGGTAATTAATTTTTAGTCAATCTTTGCATCAAATTGTAGTCAAATATTTTGTTTTCTTCTTACAATAATGTTTTTGTTTTCTTTGACTTTGGTGTGGAATAATAAGTTTGGTTGCAAATCTAAATTTGTCCTTCTAATTAAACAGTAATCAAGTACTATGAGGGAGGGGTAGTTTTGTAACTCACAAAATGTTAGGGATTTTCTTGGGAGATTCCAAATTCAACAATTTTTATCACTTTGTAATTTGTGACTTATGCTACAAATCTGCCAAACATTGTGGTACGAAAAGAGTACTGCCGTGTAATAGTTTTCCCAATAGGCGAGCTTACTATTATCATTATCTTTATTTTAGCTTCTTCTTTAGTCTTTTTGGGTGACTATATTCAAAGGAATATACATTCACTAAATCTCTAACAAACTTTCATGCATGAATTTAATTTGCAGATGGTATTTGGAGATCATGAAAGGTCCAATTTAAGATACCAAGATTCTCAGCCTAGTAGTGCACAAAGGTATGTACATACATTTTATTTACAAGTAGTAAAGGTAAAAAAAATAAAAAATAATAATAATTAGAACAAGCTTGATACAGTCAACTATATTACTATATAATTAATAATTAATTAATTACATGATTATAATCTCTAATTGTGAAGCATCAAGAGCCTAATCTTTCGGTACATCCATTTTAAACAAGTTAATTGTATAGAGTAGTACTATGTATGTAGCTAGTTTTTCCAATGCAATGTACATAGCTATTTTTTTTTTAATTGCTGCATTATTGAAGTTAAATTATAGTTTTCTAGCAAGATTAATTAAAGTAATATATTTTCCCATCGAAAACATTTACTATTATACTAATTGTATGTAAAACCTAAATGAAGAATGATTATAGATACTAGTTTAAATTATTACATATAAAGATTACTTTTTTTTTTAAAAAAAAAAAAATATAGTATCTTATTATTTAAATTTTCATTTAAACATGCCAAATAAACTAATAATGTAATGTTTATCTTGGATCAGATGGAACCCTAATGGTATACTAGAGAGCTCGACGTATACACAAGCAGACGCGATTCCTAGGCATCGAATTAGCTATTATGAGGTACATTCATGAAATCAATTAGTTCTAGCTAGTACATATATTTATATATATGTTCATTCTTTTATATTAAATGTTCATTCTTTTGATTATGAATTAGGAGTACTAAATTAGTTAAATTTTTACGAACTTGTAGGACTCGAGGCATCAAAGAATTGATTTCTTGAGAAATAGCCAAAATTCAGAATCAAGTGATCAGGAAGAAGTAGATTTGGAGCTCAGGCTATCACTCTAATCAATGAGATGATTTCCCGGAGGTTCCGGGAACTCGGGTTTAATCGATAACAGCCAGAAGTTGAATCAAGAAGCTAAGATGCAGTATATATCTTGTTCATCAACGGGGAAGAACACGTACAAGTATTATACATATATATCGATCGATATTTGGAAGATAATTAACCTATGAAGATCGCTTATTAGAGTCGATGTAATTAATTATATTCTTCTGATGTGCTTGTATATGCTTTGATGCATTACTAATTAACATCGAGAGGCAAATCGAGTAGCAGATTAAGTTAATGGAAAATATAATGTGATTTTAGATGGTATACAAGACTATTGTGTATTTGCCTAGCTTATTGGCATTATTGCATATAATTAAGTGGGGAGCTAAACTATATAGTGTGTATTCTATTATCCACAAATTTTAGCTATATATTTGCAACCCTAGCTTGTTGATCAATATCTTGTCACAAAAAAAAAAAAAAAAAAAAAAGAGCTTGTTGATCAATATTATTGAAGATGCATGGAAAAGAATTTTGAGACAGAAATGATGACAACTTTTTTTTTATTTTAAAGAATTTAGAGTATGGATGAATATTCTCATTTAAATCTGTACATAAGTGCATTAATTAATAACATCTTTTTTAAGTACACTTAGCTTTTTGAAATATTAGACTTTTTTAAGTACACTTTTTGAAATATTAGACTGTTTTAGCTATGATTATATACGAATTATTCCTCTAAGAAGCTGGTAGAGTAACATAGCTTGAAATTTGAGCATTTCTTCAAACTATTTATTTTCGTCAGAGAATTGAGATTAAAAGAGAGTTACAAAGAGGATTGAAGAAATCTAGAAGGAAACTATTCCCGAATTTGAATACCACCTCTTTTAAATTAATAACCAACTAGCTAGCTAGCACCTTCGAACTACATTCACTATCTTTTTGTAATTTTGTTTGATAATAAGAGTCTTTTTTCAAAGTAAAATAGAGGACGATGTTAAAAAAATTACTTGTATAATTCACCCTTTATCATAATACAAGGGTTTAATTAATAAATTTTTTTATTGAACTCAAATCTCACAAAATGAAATTATTGTGAGAATATTTTTTCAATCCTAACCTAATATTTTATTATAAAGTATATTAATTTTATTTTTAACAAACTATGTGGTCAAAGTTTGACCCTCAATAAGCATGACTCATGAGTGCCTCACATTGTGAAACAAATGCTCAATATTGTAATATTTAAAGTAATAGCTTTTATTAAAAATAAGTACCTACAAAACTTAACTAGACAATGCAGTATGAATTATTCAAATTCAAATAAAAACTGTACTTTTAATATTTTACACTTTCACTTTCGGATTTTAATTGTCACATTACTAGTTAAAATTCCAAACTACTATCGAAAGACTATAAAAGATAAGATAGTAGTAGTGTTTACTTTTGCTTCATGATCCAAATTGAAGTCTTCTTACGTTCAGTGCCCTACCTATATACTTCATATATAGTTTTATATGTATAGTAGTATGTATTATACTAAAATCATAACATTATAATTCAAAAAAAAAAAAGAAAAAAAAAAGAGCATATTAATGAGAGTAGCAGAAGTTTCGAGGAAAAGACCTACGTACTAAGACACAGATCCTCATGTTCTTGAAAAGTATAGAGAATATTAAAGTTTATAATAAAATTTTATCATATAGTCAACATGCATAATTTTATTTTACATCTACACATGCTCTTGCATGGGAGCTGTGATTAAGTAATTGCAATTGTATTTTGTTAAATATATAAAATATTAATTTTATTTTTTGGAACAAGTTGTTTAATTAATTACATTGTTATGACATGTAATATACTGCCAGATGATCCAGTGTGGAAAGAAATCAATCATATAATTAGCAAAAGATTTAGTCATCTGTCAAGATTCAAGCTCAGATATGCTAAGCATATCTTCTTACTAATGAATCATATAGCATATCAATACAATTGTTTGTACGTGCTTAGTAAACCTAAAGTCGAGGATGATGATTATTTCGATGAAATATTTATTGTTACCAAGACGATTTTGATTTAATTCATGTAAAAACATTGATACTTGATATTTAATTACTACCTTAACAATGGTGAATTAGTGAATAATGTGTATCTATGAATCTATGATTGATTACACTTAAAGAATGATAATGTGGAAAGCCAATAGTATAGTTAACTTTGATTTCATAATTTTTAAAGTTATTGGATCAGTTAATCACACCTTTTTCTTCAATCGATCTTTTAATTAGTAATAAACTCCTTAAAAGAAGAAAAAAGAGGAAAATTGATACCAACAATGTCAACTTAGCTAGACAATCATTATTATCAACCTTTTTATTTTTATTTATTTATTTTTAATATATTGTTGACGAGATACATTATCATTTTAATTGCATAAAAGTTATATATTTCTAGTCAAAGAAAAGTAGAAATGTTCTTTTTAAAGTAAGAAATAATTATTTTACACCTTTACTATCTAATTATTGTTGCAAAGTCAAGAAGAGGTAAATTAGTAATAGGACATAATAATGTCCATAAACATAAAGCAAGACAATAAGAAAATGTGTGGGTTTGTATCAGTAAAAACACTTCATTATAATATTAACAAAATGAAATGACGAGTGCAATCCAAATCAATAACTACATAATATAATAAAATTATATTAATTTATATGGTCGAGCTACTTGCTGAATAACTCTTGCATGGTCGAGCTATTTACTGAAAAACTCTAGCATTCTTTGAAAATATGCATGATATATATGAAATAGTCTTGGATGCTAAACCTATAAATGTATGAATAATTGAGAAATCGATGGGAGTGGTTATTAAAGCTAAATAATATTAGGTTAAATGGGGCACCTTTGTCCTCTTAAGAGGGTATCAACTTATAGCCTTAAAGATACGTCCCATTCTTCAAATCCTTCATACCCAATTGTTTGTCTTAATAATGAGGTGTAAATGTGGATTATAACCTAATCTCTTTGGTCCCCCTAATTCTAATAGAATGGTGGGGCCCTTCTTTCTCTCTCTTTTTTTTCCTTCACTAAATTAGGTGTATGTAGTGACATATGCATGTTAGTTTAGGTTAGACATTGATTAATATTTTTATGGCTTTATTAAGTATATACTAAGGACATAGTATATAATAACAAGTATGCTATTGTCATCACAATATATATGTTAGTTACAATATTTTCAAACTATGTTTACAAATCGAATGTCCGACTTATAGCACGTTATGATGATCTTTGTGGAGCATGGTTGCTTACTATGTCGATTTCAATCATCATTTTAAAAGTACAATTTGAAGATTTTACTATGTTTATAAATTCTTCATCATGTGGTCTTTCATGTAAAGCACACTTACTAATATTTTTAATTTCAGGTACTCCTTGTAACTAAATAAGCCATACTAAAGATATAATTTAGGCGATCTCAAAGCCATTCGGCCCTCTTTGGAAAAAGAAAAAAAGTGATTAACATATATATTATGACCACGATTTAAGATCAATTTGTTACAATAACTACAATTTTAATGTAGCCATTGAAAAATTATTATCTGTAATTGTATTAATTAGAAGAAAAAAAATAAAAATTGAGTGAAACTAACTACCTAATTAAAAATATTATTTGTAAAAAGATAACTTTATCAAACTTTTTGTTGAGCATTCCACTTTAGTTTAGATAAAGTTTTTCTTAAAAAAAAAAAAGAAAAGTAAAGACATGCATTGTATAATAGGGGATTAGGGGATATGTCATATTTATTTATACATCATAGCATCATTCAACTTCAATGATGTTCCCAAAAGTGGATAATAATCGTATACTCAAACACTATGATGAATATATGAAACTGATGTTTTTTTTTTTTTCTCCAAAAGAAAATCTAATTATTAAAATAGAAGTGGACATAGGGTATAGATATTAGATAGTATGCCTACATTTTTTTAAAGCAGAGGTAAAGAACTAAAAATATATATAGTGTATGTATATGATATAAAATTGCTAATTTGTTCATTTAGCCACTAGGTTTTTTATTTATTTTTTAACTTTCTCTTCGATGATTAAAAAGTTCTTAATTTTTATGTACTATTTTAACTTGTCGAATATGTTGTTTTACAAAATTTTCACTCAAATACACCTACAACTAGATTTAATTTTTAATATATTATTTAAAAAATTAGCAAAATTAATCAAATTAGCAAAAAAAAAAAAAAAAAAGTCCATATCACCATATGGATGCACCTAGTTCATTCTAAGCACACCATGCATGGTGTAAGATGAATTGATGTTTTTATTTATTTGTAATTTGAATCACTCATCATGTGCAACTATTTGACATGTATATTGGATAATTACATCCACACTACCTTTTTGGCTTTGCTAACTAACACACACTGTTTTTAAGACAAAATCTGACACTTGTGTGATTTATAGTCAATCAAATAAGCCATAATTAATTGACTAAAGGATAAAGTAGTTTTACTCTAATCCTAAATTAAAAAGCATAATTTAGAGTTGTCAAAGCTAAACAAGATCATGATCATTAATTCTTTTTCTAAAAGAATCTTGTGATTCTTTCTTTTGCACTATAGTATTGATCAATTTTTCCATTAATTTTTAAATCAATTTTTTTTGTGGTTGTACATTAAAGTTCAGTCTTTAAGACAAAATAAAATATAAAAAGCTAGCATCCAATCAAAGTGTGTTTAAGTACCCCATCAATAATAATTTAGTTAAACTTAAGGAATCTTATAATATAAAATATAGGATTGATGTTGATTTTGTGAGCAGTTGAATAAATAGATTTTACAACTAAGTTTATTTGATTTTGAGATGACTTTATTGGTTAAGCCAATCGTGTGAAGTTGTGCTGATCCCGCTAATAGGTTTTTGCATGTGCATAAAATCTAATCTAGATATCATATTCCCTCTAAACGTACAACTTTTGTCTTATATTTTTAATTTTTTTTTCCTAATTACTACTTAGTTTATGGATTAAAACATTAAATTATGATGAATAATGACTCTTTTTGCCAACCCCACCCTTGGATGTTAAACATTGGGGTTAGATGCTTTGTGCACTGGTGAAACACAAAGAGGACCCATGTCACGAGATGGGTAGATGTGTTCCCTTGAAGTAAATGAAGACTTATGTCGACTTATAAAATTAAGTTTAGTTGGGCAAAATTATAAGATTATTCTAACAAAATTTTACACTTAATGTAATAAAAGCTTTTATTGCTATATATAAATAATTAACCACAACGCTACTATATTGAATTTTCAATTTATTTTTTTATTTAGGGTTCGTTAGGCATTGCTGTGGTTTTTTTGTTTTTTTGGTTTTTTGTTGTATAAAAGTATATGATATATGTCATAATGAATCAAAAATTATTTAAACTTATTAAAATCATAATAATTTTGAAAACTGACAACAAAAAA